AGAGAGAGAGAGAGAGAGAGAGAGAGAGAGAGAGAGAGAGAGAGAGAGAGAGAGACGGACGGATGCGTAGCTTGACAAAAGTAGAAAAATGAGAGAGAGAATGAGAGCTTTGGTCACATAGACAATTTTGAGGGCATGTACTTGACTATTCGCCATGAACTTACCTTTCAGAGAACGCACTGGCGTTCTGCTCTCAGATGATGCCCCCTGCCATGCAACCAGTCTTATACACACCCTTGGCTCACTTAGGTACTGACAATCCTGGTCGTCACGTACCAACCTCTTAACCACAGCGATCGTCACCCTGCCAACTCAGTCTTTGCACCAACTTGACCAGATCCCGCAGTTCATCGTGGTCACCCGACACACAGTTATGCATCATTGCATACACTACAGCCATGCTGAGCTCGTCACGACTTTCCGACTTGATACTTGCACATCACCTAGCCATGACTTCCCTGAAGTTGGCAAATGGGTAGAGAGAGTTTTTCTGACGCACTTGCGGGTTTTATAGTTGTGAAGAGGGGAATAGAAGATGGAGGAGAGTGGGGTGGAGATAGGAAGGGGCGAGGCCTTGAGGAGGGAGTTTGGGTTAACCTCCCAGGGAAAGCCATATTGATCCCCGCGAGTTTCTTCGCAGCCAATCAGATCACCGCATGTGGGGAATATCCTCCTTACACAACGTCGCCTGACGGCTTTGAATACTTCAAAGGGGAATCAGAAGATCAATAGGGAGTTTCGGTATGGGGATGAAGGCGGGAAGGAGGAGAGCGTGAAAAGTCGCACAGAGCGGGATCAAGATTCAGATGAGAAGGAGTAGGGGTGAAGCGCAAGAGAGAGGGGATGAAAAACATTACAGGTGAACAAGAGAAGGCGTGAAGAGGAGGGTGAAGATGGCATGGGTCCTAGCGGGAAGCGGGGAAAGCTTGCATGCATGGTGCCAGCTGAGTGCAGAAAAGAAAAAGGCACAAAAACAGTTACGTTCCATCCTAAAGCCACTTCAAGATTGGGAAATTCAAATGCAATACTGTCAATACCTGCACGCGGGATTGAGCGAGCGAAAATCCTACGTGTACCTAACTTCCTACTGAAAATTCAGAGATCTTACAAGGGCGGGTGCGGGAACATCCATTTGCAAGAAACGACACGTCAGCGGGAAGAGTGCCCGTAAATCCCGGAATTTTGAACTGCCGAACAAGCTCCCTAGCGCAATCGCTAAGGCGTGCGTAATTCCTACGTAGATGCATGGATTGCCGAAATGAAATTGCAGCGAACAAAAAAAACAACAACGTCGTCTTAGACATGAGAGGCCCTGGATTTCATGCACTGGAGAGATAGCAAAAAGAAGGGGTACCCAAAAACAGCCCAAGAGAAATCCAACGAGTCAGATCAACAAAAAGTCAGGGTTTCAGAAGATCGTTTGGCTACGGAAGCTGGTACGTCACAAATGAGTGCATAACCCCAAAAGACAAAAAAAGGTCGCTGTGCCAGCCTCCGCAGTGAGTGCACACCCCCAAGTGAACCAGATGTGACGCGCAACCTCACACCCTGCACTGTTTTCCGTTCGGAGTGCTAAAGGTGCAGAAAGGGGCCCCCAAAAAACAGCAAGATGGGGTGTGCCAAAAGATTTTTGGAAAATTGAGTGTGGGGACATAGACGGAACTAAAATCCCCCGTGTTGGTCTGATGAAGTGAGAGATCTCGTTGGCGACGACACGAGTTTTGAGGCGACGCGTGCGCGGGATATGTGACGCGAGGAAGTTTAAATTCAATCTCGGAAATATTGTCGAACCTCCCACCGTGCCACGGCGCGGCGTTTGGGGTGAAAGGGAGCGGGCACGTGTTTAGTATCCCGCTTTGGCACTAGCTCCCGAGGCAGCACACTACACAATTTTGAGTCCGACATGGCCCTTTCCTTGTGCTCATCCTCATCTCGCGTTCAGTAGTGGAACCCCTTCGACTGGTAGTGCTCAAGATGTTGGCAATCACTACCCACTGTACACAGGGTGTTAGGCCAATGGGGTGCCACCGCCGGCCACGGGATGACGATCAACTCGTTAAATGGTGGTAGCAGCGAGTACGGTGGAAAGTGCGTATCCAAAATGACAAACCCAGCGCCGACAAACCCAGAACACCGATTTTCGGGAGGGAAGTAGTATTGCCCATCGATCTTTGCGACTGCTTCTCGTATGTCCCACTCACAGATTCGCGCCCTGTCCTCGTTATACGGGAAGGGGTGCAGAGGGACTACGGGAGGCTTGCGCCTAGTCGGGTTGAGCCCGTAAGTCCACATGGCAAACAATCAAGGATACTTTAACCGTTCATCGCATGCATGCAATCTTAGCAATCTAATCACAAAGGCCAAAAAGGAGAAATAGAGGGTTCGGAGAAATAAAAGTTTATGTGCGATGAGACGCGACCGTCATTTCGTGCTCAGATCGTGTGTGGCGAAATCGCAATCGCATATCTACTTGCAACACTTCTTCGATAACCACAAATCAAAGTATTCTCACATTTCCAAATCCCAACAACATTGCCCCTGCCATCCACAATGTCTTAATCAAAACGGGTTGCGTGCCTGTTCATTCCCATCCTTCATACATGCATTCACTGTGGAAGATGCGAAAATGACAACCATACAATGCCCCGACACGGTTGTGTTAAGGGCGAATTTCTTAACGTCGGACACACGCGCATCGGATTCCACCGTCCACAAGATTAACTCACTAGACCCGGGAACTACCCAGGAAACTAATGGAAGAATTCCGAAAGAAATCATTCCAATGACACAATCATCGTACCCATTCCATCGAATGTCAACTATTGACCTATTATGTAGAATCATTCACATCAAGGAAGAAGAAGAAGAAGGAGGAATGAGACAGTGACAGATGGCTGAGACGGGGACATCAAGATCGAAGGGAAGAGTTAGACTGAGATAGGGAAAGGAAAAGAAGATCCGACTTTACCACCGCAAAATCACACCAAAGAATAGATTCCCAACCAAGAGGGCGCACTTGCCATCAAATTCCAACATGGCCCCGGACCAGTCATCCACTCAACTCAGATCACCTGTCCGCATTCCGACACCGACGATCCCGGTTGTCGCGCGTCATCCTCCATCACAGCGATCGTCACCTCGCCGACTTAGTCTCGATGTGGCTTACCTGGATTCCACAGTCCATCGTGGCGATCTAGCGCACCACCAACCAGTCTATAGTTAGCTCGTCAGGACTTTCCGACTCGCACCGTACACATCACCTAGTCACTACTTCCTGGAAGCTGGCCGATGAGTTGAGAGAGAGTTTTGCGGGGGCGCCGGCGGAATTTATAGTTGCAAGAAGGGAGAGAGACGCGGAGAAAGGCGGAGGGTGAGGCAGAGGAGGGTATAGGAGAGTTTGGGAGTGACCGCCCATCGAAAGCCATGTTCAACCTCAGCCAATCAGAATCGTCGCGCAGTAAGAACTTACATGGCGGTTCTCCTTGGCTAGATGGGGAGAGAGGATCGACTGGGTTTTCGAGCGCGGATCTGAGAGCGGGAAGAAGAGGAGCGCGAAGGATAGCACGAAACGGGTCCAAGATTCAGATGATCAAGAAGGACAAAAAGGGCGCGCGCTGAGAAGGGGAGGGAAAAGCAGTTACAGAGGGAGGGGGCGAGAAGGCGTGTGCGCGCGAAGAAGGACAGTGACAGGAGCACGGGGAGGAAGGAGGAGGGAGCTTGCTTGCATGGCACCGATCGGCAAAAGGGGAATGGGTACCAAGACAGTTGCAGTCTTTTCCAATCCTATGCTAATTCAAAATTGAAAGTTCCATATCCGCTCGCAAAACAGGCGCGGTCAAACTGTACACATCGGGATGCAGAGAAAACACGGGAAAAAAGGAAGGGGTCTGAAAAATGGCGCAGGTCCGGAAGCTAGTACGTCACATATGTGACGCGCAGGGGGTTCCAAAATTATGTGATCTCCTAATTGCATGCCATGGCGAAGAAGGGAAGAAGGGGATGAGAGGATGCATGAGGAACCAAGTGTATCAACAGGTCATTGGGCCACAGTTCACATTGACGCCAACTTCAATTGCAATCTCCTCGTAAGTTTGTTGGATCGAACTGCTGGGACCGCCGGAGATCATCTAGGTGACGCCATCATCGTCTGCTGATTCTCCGTGTGCTCTGCACCCTTGCCTCGTTATTGGAAATCCCCCCGCCGATAGTCGACAAGGAGGGGAGAATGGAGGGGTCGGGGCCAGTCAGGTGGGAGCGGAGGGAAATAATCCTCCGATTCATCACCGAGATCGACGAAATGTACGATCCGATGTGCGTGGGGGAAACGATGATTGGGTCGAGATAGGGAAAGGAGGTAGTTGGGGTATAAAGAGGGAATAGTGCGGAGGACGTTATCCCTCAGGGACTCGTAGTCCTCCATAGCAGGAAAGGTGTTGGATACAACACAGTACAACTCCATGTGGTTGAACTGTGCCCATGCGACACTAAAGAGGAGGATATTGAGAGGGAAGGAGGGGGAATTCATGGGGGAAGACCGTGCAAAGGAGGCGGGCGGCGAAGTGATGGAAGAATATGCTGATGGCGAAGACGCGATAGTCCAGGGGGAATTCAAGGTGGGTGAGAGGTCGAAAACGGAGGAAATCAAGGGGGCGGCGGCAAACGGGACGAGGACGGTACGTCCGGGCCGGGACAAAGACGGGGACGAAGCGCGGAGGGGGCGGAAGCGGCTGGAGAAGGTGAGCGAGGGTGGCGGCGCCGACGGGGAGTTGGTGCGCCATCGTGCCGGCTAGCAGCGTCCGAGGGGACAGTGGGATTCAAGGTCGATCCTCCTTGAGCGAGCGGCGGTTCTTGCGAGGCTTCCCGGGGTTCAGGCGCTGATGCTTCTCCTTCTTCCTTGGAGGTCGACCGGGCTTCTGGCTCCTCTTCCTCCGATAGTCCAGCGATGGCTATGCGACCTGGATCGTCGTCTGTTGCCAACTCTCCGTTCTCCCGATGAGCTTGCCAAAACTCGTTGAAGTCGGAATTATCAGGTGCAAGCTCGTCCAGGTCCAAGTAACACCAAGCCGTCGGATTGTGATCGCTCAGATACTGTCTGTAATCCTCCGTACATTTCGCCCAGATTACGGTTGGCGTCAACTTCCTTTCCAAAATTTCAGGTCCCACTCGCTTCGGATCGCTTGGATTGTAGGAGATAATGTCCGTTGGTAGATCGTCGACGAGCTGCGACAAAAAGGTGAGAAGTTCGTAGGCGACCGTGGCTCGTCCTCCCTTGGCGATCTCTCCACACAACAATCCCACCAACGTACCGTCGGTAGTCGACTCGTTCGGCCACAGCTGCGCTAGTGCCAACGAGATCTCGTGAGAGTGCTCTAGATCCCGATTACTATATTATCGTGATCAGTGGCACCTCACCGTGAGCATACACACACTAACCGTTGCGAACTCAGTCCACTTGCGGACATAGGTAGAACTGAATGGAACGGTGGAGGAGGGGTGGATTTCTAGAGTAAGGATGGGATTTGCCCAGGATGGCCAAAATCGCCGCCAGATGATCGGGAGGTCGGAGGGGGTGAAAAGGTAGAGAAACGATTCATCGGCGCTCGGGGTAGGGATGAAGATAGGGGAGAGGTCGAGAAGGGCGGTCTGTAGCGCTGGTTCGGAGGGAAAAGGTGTCAATACAATCAGTCCCCACTACTTGTCGCCTTGGTTGGGCCAGTCGCTGCCGCCAATCAGCTGCCAACTCTTGTCCCCACCTGTAGAGATAAGTTACCACTGCATCACGTCCCTGCACGCCGATAGTACACAGATCGCCGCTGAAGGCTACTAGCCTACTACTACCGTTACGTCGCTCTCAGTAGGCCGCGAGAAGCGCCGAACTCCCAAAGCTTCCACCAAGACAATTGTTGAACCTCGATCGGCCGATATGGTGATCTCCACTGCAGCACACAAAGCTCCGTCGCCAAAAAGTTGCGCAAACCGAAGAAGATCGAGACTAAGACGGGAATGCGCGACCTGGCAAAATTGCAACAGGGTCCGAGGTTGAAGGAGCTGAGCAGGAAGGGCTGGCTCAATCATAAAGCTCATGGCAAAGATGAGGGGAAAGTAGATGCGGACGAAGGAGAGGAAACAAGTTTCTCGGTCACGTCGGATGAGGAAGAAGGAGATGGGTTAAGGCTCTCAGAAGGAGGGAGAGGACGAAGGTAGGAAGTGTGGCGGGCGATGGGGAGAGAGCTATGGCTGGCGCTGACTTCGGGCGCGAGGCGCACCGTGTTAGCTCCGTTGGGGCCGAGCTCTACAACGCGGAAACAACCAGAAAACTCGGGAGCGAGTTTGTGGTCGCGTGCACATTTGCGTACCTGCACCAGATCCCCTAACTTATATTGGTGTTGTGGGCCCACGTTCCCGTTCTGGGCCTCATAGCTACGGACCTGCCTACCGTGGGCCAGTTCAGTAATTTTCTGTCTTTTCCGAGCCAGCTTAGGAACGACCCTTTCCATTAAATCCGCATATCTCTTAGCATTGGCCTTAAGGGCCGCATGCGTGTCCCGAACCCCTTTGTTGGCAATTTTTGTGGTACCCCGATTGTCGACACATGGGAGGCTATTAGTCCGAAGCTGGAAGGGGGTGAACCCTGTGGACTCATGAGGGGTGGCCCGGTGGATTTCGACGATTCGATAGACTATCTCGGGCCACGGACGCGTGTCGAGGGCCGCTAAGTTCTCACGGAGGGCGGTCTTAATCATACGATTCACATTCTCTACCAGCCCATTTGATTGAGAAACATGGGGAGCGGTGTGTCAAAGCGTAACGCCACGACGCATTAGTAATTCCTCTGCCTCACCCTTAAATTCCGATCCATTGTCGGTTAGAATCTCCTCTGTATCTAGGTGGGTATTGAGGAATCGGTCGATGTATGTGGCTATTTCTGATTCTTTTCGGGTTTTACACGGATAGACTTAGATATATTTCGAGAAATGATCGATCAACACCAAGAGAATGGAGTATTCACAGCCGTTGGGGCCAGGTGGCACATCTATATCAATTGTGTCCATACTGACCCGTTGGAATGGGCGTTCTACCTCTGTAGGGATTATTGTATTTGGGCCACGGAGGGGCGCGCGGTCGGCCGCACATACTAGGCAGTTGGCGACCACGTGCTTCACATCGTCTCGGATATTAGGCCGGAACCATCGATTCTGGTCGATAGTTGCCTTGGTGACACGTATTGCGAAATGAGCGGCTTGTTCTTCGTGCACGGACCTTGTCCAGTTATATCTCTGAAAAGGGTGGAAAACCATCAGCCATAGTCCCGATCCGTGTGTCTTATGCTTTTCTAAATGTTCGTTGATCCATCGATAGTCTCGGGATCTTTCGGTAGCCCGACGTCTGTCATGCTTAGTAAGATGGTCCAATGGTAGACCCGCTAATTTAGCTAATAAGATTTTATCTATCCATCCCTCCGCTCGTCGGTATTTCTCATCGTATTCGGGGCCATCCATTCGGGCAGCCTCGAATCGAACCTCAGTAGGGAGTTTGTCCGTCCTACACAGTCGACACCTCCATTCCTTACTACTTGTTCTGTATCGAACGCACGCACCATGCGCACGATTGACACGCGTGGCACAGTTCACCCATTCGGCAAATCCAGATTCGAAGGGGTGAGAGTTTACTCCGTAAAATCGGAAAATAAACGTGCAAAAATCATAAAATTTATCCGGGAGAGTGGCAAGAAAGTCCGGATGGGCGAGGGGAGCACAAGAGGTGTGAGAGACCGAGTCAGGGGGAGTTTCCATCGTCTCGAGAGACAAGAACCGGAGGGGAAGGAGAGGCAGGGTCGGGTACACGTGCCACTTAGCACTTCGGTAGGATCTCCACTTCTCTGTATCGAGGCTCGTTCTTCGGTTCCTGGTCGCGCCAGGGGGTCACCTCCTCACTCCTCGGCACCTTGTTGGGAAGGTGAAGTCGTGTCAGTCCGTCTGCGTTGCCGTGTTTCTCGTGTTTCCGATGACGGATGTCAAAGTCCATGCTCTGCAGTATGGTGGCCCATCGCCTGATCATGCCCGAGTAATCCTTGGAATTCTTCAGCGCCAACAGTGGTTTGTGATCGGTTACCAGCGTAAATCTTCGGCCATACAAGTATGCTCGGAAATGACTGATCCCCCACAAGGCTGCATAGCATTCCCCTGGCGGAGCCGCGTAGTTGCGCTTACAGGACGGCACCGTTTTGGACGCGTATTCCACGACGTGTTCGAGGCCGTCTGGTCCCACCTTGGCCAAGATCGCTGAAACAGTCTCCGGTTACCAATCGGTGATGAGAACAAACGACTTTTCCGGGTCCGGCCTTATGAGGACTGGGGCCGAAACCAGGGCCGCCTTAAGTTCTCCAAAAGCCCGATCGCATTGCGGAGTCCAGATCAACAACTGATCCCTCTTTAGCGGATTTGTGAGGGGTCCCGCGATCGCTGCAAACCCCTTGATGAACCTTCGATAGTACGACGAGAAACCCAAAAAGGCGCGGACTTGCGTTACAGACGTCGGCACCGGTGCGTCCTTCACGGCTGTCACTTTCTAAGGTTCTAGCTGCAATCCTTGACTCGTAACGACGTGGCCGAGGAAGGAGATCTCCGTGAGGAAAAACTGACACTTCTCAACCGCCACTTTGAATGCTGCGTCCTTCAGTGCGTGCAGTGTCCACTCAATGTGTTGCACGTGTCCCTCATAGGAAGTAGAAAAAACAAGGATATCATTCATATACACAATCACACAGTAATTGATTATGCTCTGCGCCAGCCGCGTTTTTCGCACGAAGTTTTGAAAAGCCATATTCATCGCGTGTTGAAACGTGGCTGGGGCGTTGCAAATCCCCATCGGGCATCTGACCCATTGTCAGGTTCCTTCGAAAAGAATGAACGCCATTTTCGGTTGGTCTTCTTTTCGAACCAGAAGATGGTGGAATCCATGACGAATATCAAATTTACTAAAGAATCGAGCACTACCGATAGCATCCAACAACTCATCAATCCGGGGAAGAGGATACACATCCTTGATCGTGATATCGTTTAACTTTCGGTAGTCGATACATATGCGAATTCCTCTTGCTTTTTTCGACACAATCACTACTGGAAACGACCATGGTCCGATAGCGGGTTCTATACAAATGCGGCCGCTCTTTGCGCCGGTGAATACCGATAGGGGGCGCAGTTTATTGGCGGATGATCCCCCGTAAGGATCGCATGCTCGATTACAGTAGATAACGCAATATCACGGTCATCGACACTCAATACCTCAGCATAGCCATGCAACACATCAATCATGGATCCTTGGATATCTCGGGGGACATGACTGGGGATGGTGATTACTGCATTATTCGCGATGCTCAGGGGTGTTTCAATCCAATCCATCTTTCGCGATCGCCCGTCGTGCACACTGGAAAACATGGAACTACTTGTTCAGACCGCGAAGGCGGTAGCAATCATTTGGGATTTAGCCGGGATGATCATCTCAGTCTCTTTAACCTCGGCGTCGGTTTCATAATCGACGACACTTTTGGCTATTTCTACTCCTGTTAGTTTCGTCATTTCCTGCATGAGATCCGGAACGTCTGTTATCGGAGCCTCTGCCTCTTCCTTGATTAAAGCGATCGTGGCTCCTTGCGGCGCTTGCATGAGTAGTGATCTAGGGGGGGAGACAAAGAGATCCAAATAGTGATTCATCTGTTGATACCTAGCCTGGAGTGATAGCGTGCTCTCGTATAACGTGGGAGGGGGTTCCAAAAGGTCAGCCATATCAGAAATCTGCAAGATCAGCTCTCCCAAGAATGTCGTAGGGGGAGTCCGTCTTTCTGTGGGTAGAGAGCAGTTGGGCTCGTTGTTTTCCGAGCCTAGATCGAATGTTCAAGTAGTTGCGGGGATCATCCGAAATTCTTCTTTAGCCTCGCAATCGAACATTTCGACTAATCGCTTTCATTCTTTCTCGCTGGGCATAGCGCTCAGTTATCCCTCATAGTCGCGTTCATTGAACTCATATTCCCACGCAGGGGGTTGTTCTTTATCAGGGTTCAGGAGAGACTTCTCCAGGTTCTGGATCATTTCTATCCGGTTGATACTGGGATATCTCCTTGGTGATCGAGTAGAGATTCGGAGAGGAAGCATTTGAGGTTTCCTTCCTGTATGAGTGAGAACGAGTTGTTTGGAATCAAAATGGATCCGTGCGCCCATTGCCATCGCCCAGGGCAATCCTAACAGTATCGAATAGGAATGCACGTCAATGACTAACGCGTTAACCAGCACATGCACTCGGACCACCTTGATTGCAACGTTCTTGATGATTCCTATGATGTTCATGGCTTCTTCATCGACCGAGACATAGTTGTCTTTCTCTAGTAGAGGAAGAATGGAATTCAGTCGTCCAGTCTTTCGAACTGTGTTCAAGGAAATGGCTACGGCTGATGATCCACTGTCAATCAACGCATCGAACGGCTTACCCCAGACTTCGGAATCACATTCTGCACTCTTCCATAGGACCGATCGAACACGCACAAAGTGATATCTCTCGGAGTAAGAGATGGCGACGATTCTTGTCGTTTCGGGTGCGTTAGATTCGACCGCCGGGGGAGCCTCGTTCTCATCTTCCTGCTTTTTCTTCAACATACGCTGAACGCGCTGATAGGTAAAGCGCTTCTGATTCTTCTGGCATTGCTGCAGAAGCTTGTCATTTGCAGCTTCGGATATAGTCAACAAATGTCCTACGGGGATCGACACTCGAATATCCAACTGTTTGAGTGTCTGTAGGACATCGATTTCTCCTGTTTGGAACTGGGGTTCTGGTTCCGATGTACGTTCGACCCAATCGAGTTCTTCTTTGGCGGGTCGGATTTCTCCGATCCGTCCTGCCAGCTGGAGGTACTCGGTTGGATCGACGATATCTGCAGCCTCGGAAGAGGATCCTAACGTGGATGCGCCCGGATCAGCCGAGGGGGGTTGATCGGCGATGAAGGGAGAAGCTTCCCTTGCATGTTCTAATATTGCGGCCTCCCGACCTTGGTTCAAGGCTACCGGCACGGCCGCAGGGGGCGGTTGATTGCATTTTGGCTGGGGGCATTCTCGTGCAAAGTGCCCCGGCTGCTTGCAGTTATAACATTCGATCCTCCCCGCTGTGTTAGCCATATGCAGGGGAGCGGCAGGAGGGGCTGGCCCTCTCGCGGGAGGAGCAGTAAGCGAAGGATACTGAGGGGGAACGGGGCGGGGAGAACTGGGATTAGCCTTTACCAGTTTTGTCATAATCTGTTCCAGTCGATCCATCTGGGAAGTCTGCATCTGGAGCAGGTTATTCATCCACTCGGACTGTTTAGTCGCAGCAGTATGAATCATCTGGGCTAGATGCAGATTGGTGATGGGAACTGATGCGGCTTCTTGGGCCATGACCGTGTTCACGGGCACCACTTTCGGAGGGAGAGGCGGTTTCGAGAGGGGTAGGGAGTGATACAAGAAAGGATCTGGGGCGGGGCCATCTTGGTAGTCATGATCGGGACGAGGGTAAAATCGTCCTACTGCTCTGAGCCAGGATCGTCTCTTGGCCGCCACGTCTTGGATCGTGTCCGAAATATCTTCTTCTCCCTGACTAATATACTTACGCGTGTCCAGCAAATCCAGCTCAAGGGCCTTGGCTATGATAACTGACAGTTGGTTTGTCTTGGGAGGGACCTTTTTCTGCAATTTCGCCTTCAACACGGGATTACGGAGATGATCGATAAACAAATCCCGAGCCGCGTTTTCTTCCCGTCCCGATTTGTCCAAGGCGGTCTGAAAGCGATCCACGAAGTCGGGTAGCAATTCCCCAGGTTCCTGCGGACGGGTTTTCAGTACGAACCAGGCAGCGTCTTCACCGACCGCGTCAAATCGCGCTAGGAACGCTATCTTGAAAGTATCCCTGTCTACCCACCGGTGCCTTCTAAACCAATCGTGCGCGGTGTTTCGGAGTAACAAGGTGATGACGCGGGGGAGATCCTCAGCGCCGTATCCCTACGCTTGCACGACTTCAAGCCATGCCTCTGGATGAGTGTAGTTAGGATAAAAGGGAAAAGCAGCGGCGATGCTTACCATCACCCGGGGAGGTGCTCCATTAGCATAAGTCATGGGCATCTCTGTTCGAGTCTCGACAGATCTTTGCCGAGTGACGGGAGGACTAAGGCGATTGGGTTGCTTAGTTGATCTTCCTCTCGCCAGCTCGTCTCACTAACGTCAGAACCGACACGTGTCGGCTCCGATACCAACCTCACGCTCTGCGCTGTTTTTCGTTCGGAGTGCTAAAGGTGTAGAATGGGGCCCCGAAAAACAGCAAGATGGGGTGTGCCAAGGATTTTTGGAAAATTGAGTGTGGGGACACAGCCAGAACTGAAATCCCCCGTGTTGGTCTGATGAAGTGAGAGATCTGGTTGGCAGCGACGTGGGTTTTGAACTTTTGAGGCGATGCGTGCGCGGGATATGTGACGCGGGGAAGTTTAAATTCAATCCAGGAAATATTGTCGGACCTCCCACTGTGCAACAGCTCGGCGTTTGGGGTGGAAGGGAGTGGGCACGTGTTTAGTAACCCGCTTTCGCACTCGCTCCCGATGCCGCACACTACACAATTCTGAGTCCGACGTGGACGGTCTCAATCGCGTGGCCCTTTCCTTATGCTCATCCTCATCTCGTGTTCGGTAGTGGAACCCCTTCTACTGGTAGTGCTCGAGATGTTGGCAATCACTACACAGGGTGTTAGGCCAATGAAGTGCCACCGCTGGCCACAAAATGACCATCAACTCATTAAATGGTAGTAGCAGCTAGTATGGCGAAAAGTGCGTTTCCACAATGACAAACCCAGCGCCGACAAACCCAGAACACCGATTTTCGCGAGGGAAGTAGTATTGCCCACCGATCTTCGCGACGGCTTCCCGTATGTCCCACTCACAGATTCGCGTCATGTCCTCGTTATACGGGAAGGGGCGGAGAGGGGCTACGGGAGGCTGGCGCCTAGTCGGGTTGAGCCCGTTAGTCCACATGGCAAACAATCAAGGATACTTCAACCGTTCATCGCATGCATGTAATCTTAGCAATCTAATCACAAAGGCCAGAAAGGAGAAACAGAGGGTTCGGAGAAAGAAAAGTTCATGTACGGGGAGACGCGACCGTCATTTCGTGCTAAGATCGTGTGTTGCAAAATCGCAATCGCATACGTACTCGCAACACTTCTTCGATAACCACAAATCAAAGCATTCTCGCATTTCCAAATCCCAACAGCATTGCCCCTGCCATCTGCAATCTCTTAATCAAAGCGGGTTGCGTGCCTGTTCATTCCCATCCTTCATACATGCATTCACTGTGGAAGGTGCGAAAATGACAACCATACAATGCCCCGACACGGTTGTGCTAAGGGCGAATTTCTTAACGTCGGACACACGCGCATCGGATTCCACAGTTCACAAGACAAATTCACTAGACCGGGGAACTACCAAGGAAACTAATGGAAGAATTCCGGAAGAAATAATTCCAATTACACAATCATCGTACCCATTCCATCGCATGCCAAGTATTGACCTATTATGTAGAATCATTCACATCAAGGAAGAAGAAGAAGGAGGAATGAGACAGTGACAGGCGGGGACCTCAAGCTCGGAGAGCAGAGTTACACTGAGATAGGGAAAGGAAAAGAAGGTCCGACTTTACCACTGCAAAATCACACCAAAGAATAGATTCACAACCAAGAGGGCGCACCTGTCTCTTATACACAACCAAAGAATAGATTCACAACCAAGAGGGCGCACTTACCATCAAATTCCAACATGGCCCCGGACCAGTCATCCACTCAACGGAGTCAACTCAGATCACCTATCCGCATTCTAACACCGACGATCTCGACCATCGCTCGTCATCCTCCACCACAGCGATCGTCACCCCGCCGACTTAGTCTCGACGTGGCTTGCCTGGATCCCACAGTCCGTGGTGGCAATCTAGCGCACCGCCAACCAGTCTACAGTCAGCTCGTCAGGACTTTCCGACTCGCACCGTACACATCACCTAGCCACTACTTCCCGGAAGCTGGATGATAAGTTAAGAGAGAGAGTTTTGCGGGGGCGCCGACGAAATTTATAGTTGCGAGAAGGGAGAGAGACGCGGAGAAAGGCGGAGGGTGAGGCAGAGGAAGGTTTGGGAGTGACCGCCCATCGAAAGCCATGTTGATCCCTCCTAACTCGACCTCAGCCAATCAGAATCGTCGTGCAGTGAGAACTTACACGACGCTTCTCCTTGGCTAGATGGGGAGAGAGGATCGACTGGGTTTTCGAGCGCGGATCTGAGAGCGGGAAGAAGAGGAGCGCGAAGGATAGCACGAAACAGGTCTAAGATTCAGATGATCAAGAAGGAGAAAAAGGTCGCATGCTAAGAAGGGGAGGGAAAGGGGGAGGGGGCGAGAAGGCGTGTGCACGCGAAGAAGGACTGTGAGAGGACTGCGGGGAGGAAGGAGGAGGGAGCTTGCTTGCATGGCGCCGATCGGCAAAAGGGGAATGGGCACCAAGACAGTTGCAGTCGTTTCCAATCCTATGCTAATTCAAAATTGAAAGTACCATATCCACACGCAAAACAGGCGCAGGAAATAAAGTCTTCCATCCATCCATATTCCTACAAGAATTCCCTGAGTTTTCAAGGTCGAGGTCGAGAACATTCGCGCGCGAAAGGTCGTGCGGCATTCCGATAATTCCAGGATTTTTAACTGCCGAGCCAAATTCCAAGCGCACTCGCCAAGGCGCGCAAAATTCCCATGCATTTGCAATCAAAAACAAAAAAGAAAGGAACTGACAGATTCCCGCAAGGTACCTTTAATCGGGCATGGACAGAGGGGGGGGGGGGGGGGAAGGGGATCTCGGGGTCGAACTGTACACATCTGGATGGAGAGAAAACACGGGAAAAAAGGAAGGGGTCCGAAAGATGGCGCAGGTCCGGAAGCTAGTACGTCACACAGAGGGCCTCCACAGTGCGATGAGTGCACACCCCCAAAAGGACAGATTCCCGATCAGCTTCAAAGTTTGAAAGCTCTGTTGGAGGCTTGGAGCCAATGCTCCTACCATGGGCCAGGTGCACGCTGGGCAGCAGCTCTGGGAGTCAGGCAGAGGCAGACACACTCGTGCAGGAAGAGGGAGGGTGCCAATGGGAAGGGCAGGGGCTTGGTGGGCAGAGATTCTCTCTCTCTCTCTCTCTCTCTCTCTCTCTCTCTCTCTCTCTCTCTCTCTCTCTCTC